TTGATAGAACAAAAGCTGAGCCTAAGCCAAAGTCTTTTCGATGGGCTAAGGCTGGCCTTGCCCATTGCTAGCCCTACCCTTAACTGGGTGTTTGACCTACTTGTTCAATTGAAAATCTTGCTACCTTGATCGAGCACTCGATCCTTGCCCTTTTTTGAAAAGTAAGCCAAAGGGATTTTTTACAAAAGTATATAAATTTTGGGTAAAATAATATTTAGAGACTGCTCATGATTTTTGTCAAAATTTACCAGCTTTTGGAAAATATCATCAATTCTCCCGGTCTTGTTTACATATTTCCTTACATTTAAATGGTTGCCAAATATTCCACTGTCTTAGAAAAATGTGCTTGATCATTGGGTTATTTTGGTAATTGGTACAAGAAAAAGAAAGGACGTTTAATCAATCAAAACGGTCGTGGAATTCGCTTGTCATTACCCGTACTTGCCTTTTTTGAAAGGTCCAAAATGGGCACTAATATTTGGGGAAATTACACCAAGAACATTGGGCTTGTGGATTGGGACCAAATTCTTTATTTTGGTGTGAAGTGTCGAAAATTTAAGGACAAATATCAATATTATCTAAGGAAAAAGTTTACCTGAGGTGGCAACCTTAAAATGTTGATTTTAAGATGCACCCCAAAAATGAAAAGGTTGTTTTAATGCTGAAAAACCCTCTAATTGATCATCTTGACATTGAGATGTATGAATATAAAATAAAAAAAAAGATTTTGAGTCCTATAAATAGGGCATATTGCAACACATTATCTAGACCGTCCATTTTCAATATTTTTGTAAATTTATAGATCTACTTGATTTTATTTATTTTTAGGGTTTACAATTTTATAATTAGATATGAAAATAGATTCTCATATAACCCTAATAATTTTTTACTCCAAAATTGCATATTATGATAAAATTTGGAGGTGCTCCTTAATTAGATTGTCTAACATTGCAACCTTATACAAACCACACCCATTATCTAATGTTTTATCTTCTTTTTAAAAAAAATAATTTATCAAATATTTCATCTTACTGTTGCTTTCAAAATGTGGGGCCGATGCTCCACAAATGCAATTTTCAGAAGATGCATGTGTACGGTAGATACATTTTGGTCAAACTATACACATGAGCATGCTATAGAGATGGTCATTGCATGTGTTAGTCATTAATATAAGGGATTATATACTATGAGACCATTTATATCCAAAGAGCCCCCTAGATGTGATCAATGGAGAGAAGAAAGTAAGAGAACCCAAGTGACTGAGTGTAAGAGAATAGTGTCTCTTATGAGTTGATGGTTAGAGATATGAGAGTTAAAACCCTAGAGCACTATCTCAGGACGACCTCAAATTGAGTACTCGAGAGTGAAAGAAGCAAAGTGCAAAGAGAGAAATGAAGATAATGATGAAATGAAAAGCAAAGTAAAGTGAATGATGAGTTTAAAATATGGTTTAAAGAGGCAAGAGAGTGAAAGAAGGGTGAATGGGGTCAAGGGGTGATGGACCTACGTGAGGTATGAATCTAGGCTCACAAAGGGGCCGGGGGGGGGGGGGGGGGAGGGGATAGAGTGTATAGGGCAAGAGAGGACGGATAGGACGTATAGGGTGGATAGGAGGTATAGGGCGGATAGGAAGTATAGGGCGGATAAGGCAAGTACGGTGAATAGGGCGAGTAGGGTGAATAGGGGGATAGGACGAGTAGGACGGATGGAGCGTATAAGGGTATAGAGTGAGTAGGGAAGATGGGGCGTATAGGGGTATGGAGTGAGTAGGGCAGATGGGGCGTATAGGGGTATGGAGTGAGTAGGGCGGATGGGGCATATAGGGGTATGGAGTGAGTAGGGCAGATAGGGCGTATAGGGGAGAGGGGCGAATGAAAGGATGACGGGTGAGAGGGGTGGATGAGAGGTGCAAGATGAGAGGGGCGGGCTAGAAATAAACATGAGAGTGGAAGGGAGAGAGAGTTGAGCAGACCCACCTAAGGCACAGGTCCATCACTTGACGAGAGAGAGGGTGAGAGTGAGGCAAGAGAAAAGAAGGGGAGGGAAGCCGGGCCCCCTAAGTGTGGGTCCATGGCTTTAGATGAGAGAGATAGAGAGAGAGTCAGTGAAGAGAGAGAGGGGCAATGCTCGGACCCACCTTGGGTCCGAGTAAGAGAGAGAGAGAGAGAGAGAGAGAGAGAGAGAGAAAGGAGAGCCATAAAAATAGAAAAGAGAGAGAAAGAGAGAAAGAAAATAGAGAGAAGAGAGAGGAGAGAGGTAGACCTAGAATGGGTTTGAGCCTAGGTGCACCTTCATCGGTCCCTTTGCATGCACATGAGAGAGAGGTCAAGGTCTTTGTGGGTCTAGGCTAAGGTTTAAAGTCTAGGTGGATGGCTTAGGTGGGTTGAGTTGAGGTTTGGTGTATAGGGACTAAGATGTACAGGATGAGCTAAGGCATAAGCTAGCTAACGTGTATATAATAGTCTAGGGTATATGATGTACTGTGATATATAGTATAGGTTAGGGTGTAGGGTGTATGGAGTAGGATTGGAAGCTAGGGGTTCTAGGGTGTATGAAAGCTAGGAGTTCTAGGTAGTATGAGATTGAGAGTTGGGAATCCTAAAGGAGTTGGAACTTTGGGGTTCTAGGAAGTGTAGGGTTCTAAGGGTATTTTCTCTCTAAAAGAAATGTTTCTCTCTCCTCCCATCTTGGATCTTGAACTTGAAAGTAAAGCTAAAGAACAAGTAAGAACTTAAAGAATTCAATAATTTACTCCAAATGTTCAAGATAGTCTACAAGAGTGTTATTATAAATTACTTGAGTTTCTTATATAGAGCAAACATTAAACAAGGGTGGAATGCTAAAAATCTATCAAAATTGCCAAAAATGCACATTTTATGAATAAAAATATTAATCCCGTTTTTTGATCAAATGACCAAAATTCCCCTAAGCACTTTTCAACAAATGACAAAATCATCCCTCCATGAGGAGCCTGTTGTCATTGCTAGGCCTCGGGAGGTTTTTCGGACATTTATGATGATAATTTGGACGATCATTGTCGTATAATCGATGCTTGAACTATTGCGCACGTTTTGATATCCTTTGATCGTCTTGAAATGGAGTTTTTAAAAAGAACCCAAAATTCGAACAAATTCAATGAACTTGTGATTCTTCGACCATCAATTCGGCACGATCTATGACACTCCAAGTCTTCATTTTGATCACAAATTGAAGAGGACGCTATCTTTTGCAATAAATTTCATCCATTTTGGTCTCCATTTGAGCGCGTTCTAATTTTGGGAAGGCGCCAAAATATGAGATTCAGACAACTTGAAAAGTATGTCATTTTCGACCTCAAAAATCGTGTCATCCGGCCTTTGATTATATCAAATTGTAGCTCTTCAAAGCACGATTGCAACAGACCCATATTTACGATGATCCGACATCGGGATCTTGAGCTTTGGCATATCAAATAATTGGATGTTCTTCTTTATAAAATCTGATTTTTCATGTTTCAAACCCATCTTCTCTCTAGAAATTCTCTCATTTTGGGTCATGCCATGACGCATTCCATATGTCAAAACGAGCAGGTCATCGAGATCTATTTCGCATCCAAACTTGAGCTTAATTGGACTCAAAATGAGTGAGTTTTGAGTATTTGAAAATCATTCTGAATGAAAACACACTTTCCATAAATGGAAACTGGTTCACCGAAGTTGCACATCAATAGTGTAAAACCCACCCTTTGTGGTAAGCTAGGCTCATAATAGTTCCAAAGGGTCCGATTGAGCCAAAATTTGGTATCTAGGGGTTTTTCAACGTTCTGGATTCAATGGCAGTAGTCTGATATTGTCAGTGTTTCAAAAAGCTCTGAGCGGCACCTAGGGGGCCATAGGGGTCGAGACTGCCCAGCACCTAGGCGAGCAACCAGAACCTGGGGGTCCCAATTGAAAAAAAAAAAATTGATGACTGATAATTATTAATTCATATGAATTTTGATAATCCATAAGACCATAATCCATAAGCATTTTGATAATCCATAAGACCATAAT